CCAGCTGACGCCCCCGGCCCCGCCGCCTCCATCACTCGTCCCCAGAGACGCCCCAGGTCCCAGCAGCGAGCGGAGTGAGAGCCCAGAGAGGCGACCGACCCCCGAGGCTGCGCGCTTCGGACAGGTGAGAGGGAAGGGAAGGGGTGCCGGTCACACACCTCCCCATTCGGCCTCCAGAGTTTGGATCAACACCGTCTCCCGAAGTTTGGGAAATAAACCAAGCCCGCCATCAGTTGTGGACGGACTGCTCCGTCCCCAGAGACCCAGAGAAACCATGCGGGGCAGCCTGGGAGCGCCAGGAGCCTGGGAGCGTCTGGCTGGGTTTCTCCCAGCGACTCCTTCCTTTGTCTCAGTTCCAGGGAGTCAGCATTCTGTTAAGATGTCCACAGCTTTCATTTATAGCAGTCACTGGCAAGAGCAAAGTGGGGCCGGGGCTTCCTACAACGACCGCAGCATTTACATTTGCACAACGGAGAGGTGAAATATATTGTTTTATAAATTCACTCTTCTCCTGGTATAGTTTGCCCTTGACAGAAAAGGTTGAGGGCCTTTTGAGATTTCTCTTATTAATTACTCTTCCTGGATAGTTAATTGTTGAAGCTAATGCTGCATATTAGGTAGGAATTAAGCTCACTCTGTGTATTTAGTCTTCCTAGATTTAGATTGAGAAATGTATGTGTGTAAGATATTTGTAATAAATACCCATTGATCATTGGGTAATGGTAATGCCACTAAAAGATAGGGTGATGTCCCGGAGGAAGACGGCATCGTTGACTAGTTAAATGTATTTGACGGTCAGGTCCTGTGCACCTTAACCTGGTGTATAGTTCCATTTCAGAACTAAACAGATTGGACTAACGTGTCTCTTAAACAGCCAAGGAAACATTTCCAGAAGCAACCAAGATTCTTATTTGTCATTAAGCATATTAAACTCTTAACTGGGTTTAGGAGTCAAACCCAGCCCGGAGAGATACTTTTTGTGGCCTGGTGCACGAACGTTACCAGAGCCTCTGAAAGCTTATTTGCTTTACTGGGTTTTCATGTCTCCCACTATGGAAATACTATTATAAAGGACCTTCAGCTTGTTATTCTGCTACTGATACTCGAACATATTATCATTTGGGGGAAAGTAGGCTAAAATCTGAGACTTTTTCCCACTTCCCGTTTTCTTCACTACTTAGTCATCAACCAGTATCTGATGGTACTTTCCAGATGCTTCTGGGAATGGGAGCCTGTCCAAACGGAAAGCTTAGCTTCTATTAAATGGGAGTTCCCTGTAATGAGATGCTACTCCACTCACAGGGGTGGGTGGGCACAGTGGCTGCAACGGTGGCCTCCAGCATTGTGAGGGTGGTGCGGGACCAGGCCACGTCTTGTATTGTAGGACCTAGCAACAACCACAATCACAACCTGGTAAAATGGCACACAATGGAAACAACCTAGTGAGAAGCCTTCTCAATCCCATCCTGTGGGGTTTAGGGCTGTGTTTGTTTTTACTTTTAAAGATATATGCTGAGATGCTAGGCATGTTTTTTTCTAGCAAAGTCCTAATTAGGGAGCTCATCGTTATGAGTTGATCTAGGTTTGTTATGAGTTGATCTAGCTACAAACCGTTACTTCGATTATGTTGGGTTTTGTATCCTAAGCTGAGGAAGCCTTCAATAAAAGAGAGAGAGTAGCTGCGTGGGGCATTTTTGCCGGCAACTTTCAGGCGGTTTGTACCTGTTGCTGCCCAGTCAAGTCTAGGAGAATGCATATAATAGCTAACGAGCACTCATAATCAGAGGTTATTCTTCTGGAAAGATTCTCGTAAAGAAAGCTGACTACCGTTTTATTTTAACTTGGAAGACGTTTTCGTGATATTTTTGAATGCTACAATAAATTAAATGGTCATAGGTAGACTTGTGCTGTTACAAAATTTTTGGTAACCGCCCATATGTCAAAGAAAATAATTACTGACATAGACAGGGAATGAATATGAACTGATTGGTTTAATTCCCTCATTCCCTCTGTGACTCTCCAGATAAAGAAAAATTCATTTAGTTTAGGGAAACTGGAACCAATATAGAGCAAATGCCGCCTTTAAAATTTCTTAAGCAACATTAGCAAAAGGTTAAAAATAAATTCTCATAGTCATGCACGTAATCAAATATCCTGGAGATTAAAAGAGCAGGGTGCTTTAAAACAGATTTCGTTTGGGGGTAAGCCCACTACCATCAAGTCATTCCTGAGTCAGAGTGACCGGTGGGACAGAGCAGAACTGCTTCCCGGGGTTTCTGTGGCTGCAAATGAGTATGGGAAAAGACCACCTTCTTCTCCCAAGGAGAGTGCCACTGGATTTGACCTGCTGCTGTCCTTGATGGTTAACAGCTCTGTGTGTAACCCACTCTGCTACCAAGGCTCATTTAAGGTCGCTGTCTCTTAACAGGAGACAGGATGGAGAATTATGGTCACGCAAAACACCTACAGGGAAAGACGTTGTATTGAGACAGTTTACAGAAAAGACAAATTGGTAAAGAGATGTACCCTTTCATTGTATTAGGGAATGTATGATGTGCACTTTTATGAAATAGATCAATTTCTTCCTGGATTTAGATGTGTTTTATTCCTTTGGGTTTGATACGCGCCCAGCCACTCAGAATATTGTGGCTGCGGTGCCAGGCTGGTCAAGGACAGCCAGGAAGTAGACTAGTCTCCAGGAGTTCACAGGCTGGTGGGGAGGCCACTGAGCAACTGCGGTCATCCATGAGCACCTGGGAAATTGTGCATCCGGGGAAGCTGTGGAGACAGGGGGGATTTGAAAAAATGCTACGTGTCATCCAGATTGAACCACTGGCTTTTGTGGCCCTGGATGAGTGCCTTGGCTTCTGCATCTCTCTGTCCTCAATGAGGAATTAAGGAGGAGAAATCAGAGCATAGTTAGAGAGGGTGCACTTAATAGGGCTTGGGTTTGAGGAAAGGGCTGGAGACTTTGCTCAAACAAAGTAAACCAGACTCACTGGCATTAAGTCAATGCTGACGCATAACAAGCCCCTGTGGGTTTCTGGGACTGGAACTGTCTGCAGGAGTAAAAAGCCTAGTCTTTCTCCCGGGAAGCTGCTGGTGGTTTCAAACTGCTGTCCAGACTGATTGCAGCCTAGCTCATAACCACTGCACCACCAGGGTTCCTGGAAACCTTGTTAGATGTAGGAAAGGGGCAATAGGATGATAGGAGGTAATGGAGGTGGGGCTTCGGGCATCTTGCTTTTCCTTGATTTTCTGAGTGTTGGCTGTAGGTAATAAAACAATAAACCCTAAACTTTGACATCATACCTGATGGTTTCAGTGAATTTTCACAAATAATAGCATTTGATTTTCATAATAATCCTGAGAGGTAATTAGAACAGAAAGGTAATGAAATCATGACTGATAACATAAAACTCATTGTCACCTCTCCATTCCACTGTCTTTCTGCGCCACAGGGTTTGAGAGGTAGGAGGCGCTAATGCGCTCTCTGGGAACATTGTGAGGAGAGAGGAAGTTGAAGTAAGAGTTCAGTGAAAGTTTGAGTTTCACTATCATGACATGAATTCTACCTTGCAAGTCTGGCTAGACCAGAGGATGTACACTGGTACAGATAGGAACTGGAAATACAGGAAATACAGGGCGGATGATCCCTACAGGACCAGTGGTGTGAGTGGCGATACTGGGAGGGTAGAGGGAGAGTGGGTAGGAAAGAGGGAACCGATTACAAGGAACTATATGTGACCTCCTCCCTGGGGAACGGACAACCGAAAAGAGGGTGAAGGGAGATGACAGGGCAAGATATGACAAAATAACAATTTATAAATTATCAAGGGCTCATGAGGGAGCGGGGAGTGGGGAGGGAGGGGGAAATGAGGACCTAATGCCAGGGGCTTAAGTGGAGAGGAAATGTCTTGAGAATGATGAGGGCAATGAATGTACAAATGCACTTTACACAATTGATGTATGTATGGTTTGTGATAAGAGTTGTATGAGCCCCTAATAAAATGATTAAAAAAAAAAAGAAAGTTTGAGTTTCTAAGGAAAAAATGTGGATCGTATTCTGGAAGGTAAGAGGGCTCCCATTTTGCATGCCACATTTCCTGAGATATCTTGACTTCTGATTATAAGTGATTAGTTTGCTTATTCCATCCTGAGCTTCCTTCCCATCTGTCTTAGTTTTCTAGGACTTCCCATTCCAAGCCACCACAAACCTGGTAGCTTAAAAGCCACAGAAATGCATTCCCTCACCATTCTGGGGCCTGAAGTCCAAAATCAAGATGTTGACAATGTTGGTTCTCTGTTGAGTCTCAGAGGGAGAGTCAGTTCCTGCCTTCTGCCCTGCCCTGGATTCTGGCCCTTGGCAGAATCCTTTGGCATTCCTTGTCTTAGGGCTGCATACAGGAAGCCTCAGCTTCTGTGTCACACGACCACCTTTGTCATGTCTTCGTCTGCCTCCTTTTATCCAGTCTGTCTTATAGCGACATGCCCCACTCTTGTTACAGTACACTTCAATCCCAGACAATCTACTCTTGAATTCTTTACTATAATTACACTTGTGAAGATCTTTAGGGGCCCGGGTGATAGAGTGGTTATGGATTAATCTCAAGGTCAGCAGTTTGAAACCACCAGCAGCTCCAAGGAAGAAAGATGGAGTTTTCTACTCCCATAAAGAGTTATAGTCTCAGAACATCACAGGTGCAGTTCTACTACCCCATCCTGTGGGTCAGTATGAGCTGGCATTGACTCAATGGCAGTGAGTTTTTAGTTATTTTTTGACAAAGATCTTTATTCTGAATAAGGTTACACTGTGAAGTTTAAAGTGAACATATGTTTGGGGGGACCACCATTCAATTCACTACACTACTGCCGCCCCTTTACCCCAGCACCATCTGTGGACATTTTACTTTCACAGGGGGCCATTGATGGACTCTCTCTCCCAAAGGCTTGGAGTGCAACTGGCAAACAAAGATTGCGATTTCTCATACAAACATGAGGATTCTTGGGACATTGTACTGTTAATTAAGGGAATGTGTTCCCAAGTCACATTATGCTTTGGGAACAGAATATGGAAGTGAAATAATGAACACATAATGATGGTGTATGAAGTCACCAGATTTT